TTTCTTGTGCCCAATAATGCATAATTTCATTTGATAAACACGTTTAGATTGAATGGTAATTTATAATCAGTCACAAGAACGTCGAATCTGAATCACTTGAAAAAACACGGGGGGTGCTTAACTTTTTTCCAGGTGTATAGAATTTGAATCATAAATGTGACACAAGTATCGATGTTAATATTACTGCCTTTCAGTGGAAAACCTGGTTTTTAGTAAAAAAAACAAACAAAACAGTTACATAATCTCTTTCTTAAATTCTATCCTCAGATAGAACTTAGAATTATTTTCAAACATAAATTTGTTTTTCTAATTTACAGACAAGATTTCTGCACAAAATCGTCTAGTGTTGTTTATGATTTTACTTATACTAATTGTAACGATAGGTATATATAAGATCCACCACCAGATGGCTAGAAAATAGTGTGTGGGAATATGCAGATCTACTCTGTGACAACAAATCAAATATAAAAGAGCATGCCACGCGAAGTTGCTATGTAGAAGTAAAGAATGCTTATTTCAAGATTATGTCCAAAAGTAACAATTAAAGCAGTTATTGTATTCAAGAAACTTCGTTAATTCAATGGCTATAGCTCCAAATTAACGAATTTGGGATAATCTATGAATTATTATTAAAATAGTATTGGTCACACAGTACAGTGACTTCCAATGATACAGTAAAAAGTCATAGTGAATCTAGGGTAGGTCTGGTCAGTAGTTCATAGTGGGTCTCACGAAAGCCATGGTGATTCATGGACGATACCGAAGAAGTGTAAATGGCTGCAGATTTTGATGGGCCTGTAAGGGCCAGCTGTAACTTGTACAAACTGGTAAAATTTCACAGATTACATGTGATTGGTCAGTAACAAATCTGGTGAACTTGAATATGCCAGTCAGACCGTAGTAGAGTATGACTAAATGTGCATGTCTCAAGTCACTGAACGTTGATTGGCTAGAAATACTTGTGATGATTTTGTGAAAATCTTGTTTGCCAACCATCAATGTTCTTGTAAGAAAGCAGTTGCAGTATTATTTTCTTTCTGTTATTAGGCTTTACGTGTTTTAGCTTAGTTTTAAAAACATCTCTGGATTTACAGATATAGCTTATTGTAGAAAAGAGACTCAATTAGCTATATAAGCAAAAAGCAGTAATTCAATCTTCAGATCTTTTCTCGGGCGTCTGCCTTTGGTACTGAATATTTTTCTCCCTATAGAGAACCATCAACTTAACGTTAACAACTTTTAAAAAACTAAAGAGGCATCTACCATGTTCACGACTTATACCAAGAAAATAATACAAACAAAAAAACCCTTTTCAAATAGACAAAAAAAGGAAGGGAAACTGAAAGTTATCATTAATGAGTTATATCGAAATTTTGATAGGACGACAGTAAAAGATTATCATATTTGTAAATCTTGGTTGTGGCAACAAAAAACCTTTTTATGTCTTTTTAAAAAAATTCCTTGTTTAACCCTATTGCACATTGTAACGTGCGGGTAAGAAATTGTCTTGTTGCTTTATACATGTACAAATGGGTAATTTTTATATTTAATTGCAATTACTTCCAGGTAACCGTCTAAATAAACCATAGAATCATTTTTGTTAGTTTCTCAATTGAACACTATTACTTCTAAGTAACGTACCAACTCACAACTTACCAAAACATATTTCACGAAAAAATATTTGTTGTGCAATTTTTCTCCCTATAGAAAAAAAGTCCATTAAGGAATCCAGATACCACGAACTATTGAAAATTGCATTGTGTTTTAACTCCCAAAGAAAACTTAGAAACAGTTTTCCGCGATATGATTAGAAAGGTCATAATATTTCATGCGTTCTATTCCATTACTCATGCTTTCTTAGATCAACATCGTTTATCTCTCTCCATTACTTTCCAAAGTTGTGCTTCTGACTACGTTATATAAGATGGCACCATACCTCTTCAGAGGAGGGAAGGAATATTTAAAGCATTTTGAAATGAAGATGCTTTCAAATACATCATCGAATAGGATCTTTGTTGTTAATACCCAGAAGATATGCAAAGCCAATGTCTTTTAAGTGTTGAACCTTTTACAAAGGTTCACCAATATTCTAATTCAGCTTTATTATTACTACTCCCTTAAACAATATTTAATAATTATAGAATAGTCCCTCCAAACTGTTCTTCACGAGATAATATTGAAATTACAAAACTTTCCTGATAAGCCACTCACCGGGAGACTGGTAGATGTGTGCATCAGATCTCGGTGGTCGAGGTGTTCTTTTTACTGTAGCATACAGTGGCTCCTCTTGAGGCTGGAGAAGAAAATGTGTTTCATCTAGTGATTCCTCTTAAGTTCTCAATCTTCCTAATTATTCTATCGCACACAGTCATACTTTTATATATGTTAACAATTTCTTGTTGAATTTCTATCTTTTCGATAGAATAAGCTTTACTTCGAGTGTCTACTAATGTCCTCGCCTAATCAAAATTAAAAATTTATGTCATCGAAGCATTAGAAGACGCACATAAGCCAAGCTTCTAACACATCATTATACAGATGAGTTAACAAGTAGCAAAAACACTTTACCTTTTGAAACTTCTTTTCTTCCCCTCTCTCTCTTACACATACAATTAAAATTTTATGTCATCGAAGCATTAGAAGACGCACATAAGCCAAGCTTCTAACACATCATTATACAGATGAGTTAACAAGTAGCAAAAACACTTTACCTTTTGAAACTTCTTTTCTTCCCCTCTCTCTCTTACACATACAAAACAAAGTGGATTAAATTCGTTTACCAATTCCGAAAACATAAAACCTAGCCAATCTTTCTGTATGTCTCGTGATCAACGTTATAAAGTTACACTTGATATTTGAAAATACATAATAAATATTGAACGAAATAAACAATTAATTACAATAAAGCTGACTATCTTGTGTACCAACAATGTCCTGGATTTATAGTTTCCTAGGAACTGCAGATATATTTACTACTCTTGATCGTAATTATGGATCTTCTTAAACATGCTGTTGCAAAAATTATCATATATTCAATTTCTGTAATACATATTGGTGTATAGAAGACATATTAATACTAGAAATCAACGACCTTGCAAAGCTTTGTACTGTTAGTTTCAGTTTGAGTTTTAGTGAACGCTCCTGAAGAAGCTGTAAATCGCAACGTTGAGTGTCTAATTAAATAATAACAGCATTTTGGTGTTATAAGTCGTTTATTCCTAGTATTAATTATCATATATTCATTAATCTATACGTTTGTGTGGGGGAGTGAACATATACAGAGTATTGTAACATTTAATAAATAACATTTTGAAAGCAATGTTTTTCAACCTTGATTACAAGTTATACACAAATGTATTTATTGTGTAGAAAACTACTCCTTTTTGTTTAACGAAGTTTGTGTTTGAAGTTGAGCAAGTACTCAGTTTAGTAAAACAAAAATGACACCTGGGGAAACTCATCTGTTCGTGATTTTTCTGAAAACTCTCCAGCCAGTTGTGTGGTTGCGTAAGGAGTAGGATAGTAGACACTTTTAGCCTCCTTTTTCTTTTTCTTCTTCTTTTTCTTCACAGTCTTCTTTTGATAGTCTGTCATACGCAAAGTTGCTTGAGCAGAACCCTTGGCTATGCCATATACAGAGCTACCTGTACAATAGGAGTAAATATTGCTTTTTTAAAGAATATTCCGATTACAAGATATTTATTACCGATAGAAAGATATCTCTAGTCACATTGGTGTGAAATAAATACTGTTGTATAGTGTGCTGGTATCTATAAGTTTACAGTTAAGAAAACAATTATGAGTTAAATGGGTTCAAAACGTTTAATTTGTTAATAAGAAATATCAGTTATTTGGTAATGGTGTTTACTGGATGTCTTTATTATCACCACATGGTCCATTTCTGATTAAAGAGAACACGCATGATACTCCTACCAATAAGTTCGCAATACTATTACTAGAATGAAGCTGATGAGGTCCAAACAAAGTATAAAAAAAGCATTTCATTTCTCTTATCATCATAAGTCACTGAAGAATTATCAAATAATTGTTACAGAAAACAAAACAAAATAACAATAGCAGTTCAGCCAAAAGGGAATATTAAGTATACTTACATCCCAAGGAATTATTTAAATAAAATCATGCAGGTGGTTTATTGAAAAAAAGAAAAACAAAGAAATATTTGCTTTGACAGTTTTACTTCAGGAAATTTTCTATTTAATTATTCTGTTTATAATTATCGCTTCATTTATTCTAAACTCAAGCATATAGACAAACGAACGGCGTATATGTAAATCAATGAATACAGTATTTGTTTACTTAGTTAATTATGGTTAACACGGGGTAACCCGAAAGTTCTGGAATTATGAGAAAAATGTTAAATTTTTATAAGGTAAATAAAGTTCAATTTGACATCGCAGTACATTTGTCAGACGGCAGCAAGTATTTCTAATCCAGCAAACAGTACATTTGTTCTACAAGTTACAATTTTCTTGGTAAGCTACAAGGCTATCTGAGCATAATCTTAGCTAATTTTGAGCTGACAGGCTATAGGGAAAGCAGCTAGTCTATATAACCCATCACCAACTCTTAGGCTACTCTTCTCTGACCGAATAGCGAGATTTGATCGTTACTCTTATAACGCACACCCACAGCCTTAGAGTTTTTGCGTCAATGGAACGCGGACCATGGACCTTAACTTCCAGGCTATGCCCGACCCAAGTAGAAATATTCTTTGTCAAAATAAAAAATAACGAAACACAATATAATGTCAAAGTAAACAACAACGAAACACAATATAATGTTAAAGTAAACAACAACGAAACACACAATATAATGTTAAAATAAACAACAACAAACATACAATATAATGTCAAAGTAAACAACAACAGAATATAAAATACCAACAAAATATTTAATCCTTAGCGAATGTAGAATGTACTTGATAGTCTTACCATTCTGTGAGCTGCTTGTGTTTTTTCTTCTGATGACCAAACAGAGGGCAATTAGGACAATGATGATTACACATACTGACACAGCGACAGGTATAATTATAGTGAGGTCCAAGTAGAAGGGAGTTGCATTTCTGGAGAGTCTATTGTTCGGTTTCATTTGCATTGGTACTGAGCAAGCATGAGAAAAAGAGCGACCATTATTAACGGTGTGTCAAATGTTAATATGGATCTTACGCTGCGCCCTTGTCCTGACTTTATCGATTCTATATTTATGTATAATTTTTCAGATGTTCACTAATCTGTTTAAGACATTAGATATTTGTTACGAATTATTTCTGGTGTTTTTTTTTTGTCTGTGTCCTGAAGACGCTAATTCAAATTATCTTCTCAAGTTATAAGAGTACACAAACATGAAACCATTGCTTTAGAGTGATTAAATTTTACAGATCGTCTTTTCGAGCAATAAACGTGTTAAAAACTAATTCATTTTAGGATAACTAGAATACAGACGAATGCAAAATACCTTCCGGAGTGACGAGAGTATAGAAGACATACTTGGCGTCCGTCTTCCCAGCCTCATTTGTCGCTACAACCTGCAGCTGATACCAAGTCCCTGGCTCCAGTCCATGGATATCCAAAAAATAGTTCTTTTTAGCGGGAAAGTCATTTGCTACTTCATTCCATTGTTGGGCATGTTGGCGTCTGTAACGTACTTTAAACGAGATTAAAGGGCACCCTCCACTCTGCCAGTCTGCAAAGTTGACAGTGAGAGAAGTGGAGTTGTAAGATAGAGCCGAGTTCTTACTGGGAGCTACTGGAGCTGCAGAATAGAATAAAGTGTAAGTTTCAATGGAAGTTTGATGATGAAAATGTGGACTAAGTTTCAAAGAAAATTAATTTAGCATTAAAATGAAAAACGTCAACATTAAAAATAGGCAAAAATAGATGTTTAGATTATTATTAATTTATTACTATGATTTATTCAAATGATCTTTTAATTCTCAACTTATGTATGAAAGAAATCTTGTAATGCATAAAAACATTAACAATAAAATTTAAGGTGTGTATTATTTATAACCATTCGATTGCCAATTCCATGATAACGAATATGGAAATAAAACCAGATAAGTATTATTCTTTGGGAATATTTGTTTGTTCGTGCCACTGGGGGGCGTTGGGAAGAAATAGCAGCTCTAAACAGATCAATGATGGACGTAATAAGAGAACTATGTATTTTTATCAACTAAGTAATTTCGTTATAGTTATATCTATTTTATGTTACCTTTTTAAAATGTATTATTTTTTAAAAATATATATGATGATATAACTACTTGTTAGATAAGAATCAGAGCGCCCTCTTTCTTTGTTACTCACCCTCTCCTAAAGTCTTGGCATCAACTATATCACAAGGCTCTCCTCTCCCGACGGAGTTATAAGCAACTAAGAAGAACTGGTACCGAGACCCACAAGCTAGATCGTTGAAAGTATAACTTTCCCGGTCACCAGGAATGTCAACCTCTTCAATCTGTTGGTCATCTTTCATCATACTTAACGTGAAGCCTAGAAAAATATATAATTCAAAGAAAAGCTAATTTTGGTCATCTCTCTTCTAAAGAAATGCCCGTGTCGTTAATGTATCCTAAAAATAAATGCCTGTGTCGTTAATGTATCATAAAAATAAATGCCTGTGTCGTTAATGTATCTTAAAAATAAATACCTGTGTCGTTAATATATCCTGAAAAGAAATGTCTGTGTTGATAAATATCATGTCCGAAGCACACTGTTCCTTCCTGCTACTTTCCATAATATATCTAGTGTACGAGGACAACAGTCCAATCGCACAGAAATCTATGGAAGTTGCGTCCAGAGATTTGACCGGTACGTCTTCGTATGAAATAACATGAATACCCGTTTCATTCATCAGCTACTTGAGTATGCAATAGTTAAATAGGAGGTATGACTGTAAGCTTTATTTTGGTAAACTTATACCCCATTGGCTTCGTTTCCAGACGGAGATTCTATTGATTAAAGTGCATACTGTTGTCTAGAGCACGTGGACAGCTTTTATTACTGACTTTGGTGTTCGTGGATTTCCACTTGTTTCATTATATCACACTTTGCTTACACGGCTTGGGTACGATTTATTACAGGTCTCTTTCTGGATAGTTCTGATTTCCCAAGCTGATTCAAATTCCTTAGTGCTCTAATGCCATTAGTTACGAGGGAGATTCCGTCTTGAAATTCTAAATCTACGATCTCATCACATCTTTATGATCCGAGTGTATTAATATTGTGCGTTGGAAAGGGCTGTTACATATCCTTCCCAAAGGTGATCAATTTTGGGTGGAATCCTACAATCTACAAAACACCGCACAATGTCAACTTGTAGTCTTGATACATCCCTTTCCACTGCGACTTCATATTGAATTTGGTTGACACGCGAATAGCTGATTTACAAATTTAAATTCGTTTTAAATATAACATACTCAACCTTTTATATAAAGCAATAGGATACTATAGCCACTTCTTATAATAAGGAAAACACAATACTTGCAATAGCAACATTGTATGTTTGTTTAAAAATGGGCTATCTCAACTATGAAGGCAGCGGGAATCGAGCCACGAATTTTAGCATTATAAGCCATAAAGCTTACCGTCAAGAAACAATAAAAATAGTAGCATTGTAATTTGTCAAATATATATATATAAATATTTTTAATTAGTGTAAATATTTGCCGAGACAAACATATTTGTTGAGCACATTTTGTTGATATGCATAGCATGAACATACAACTATGTTCATTGATTTGAATGTAAGCACCGACAGCTATAAAAAATTCATTTCTCTATTTGTTTTAGAAATTTCGCGCAAAACTATACAAATGGCTATAGAATAGGCGTCACCGATAGATGGAAGGAGAAGGCAGCCAATAACACCCACCAACAACTCGTAGCTACTCTTCTCTGACCAAACAGTGAGATTTAACTGACATTCTTAGAGCGCGCTTACGGCTCCAAAGTAAAGAGCGCGTTTTTTATGACAATGGGACAGACAGGAATCATGAATTCTCGAATTCAATCGCCAACCCATAGGCGCCCGGCCTCAAAAGATTCATATGTATTTATCAAGGAAGTTGATTGATTGTTTGTTTGTAGTTAAGCACAAAACTACATAATGGGCTATCTGTGCTGTGCCCATCACGGATATCGAAACCCGGTTTTATGCGTTATAAGTCTGCAGACTTACCGCTGTACCACTTGGGGGGGGGGGCTGGGAAGTGATTAAAAATGACGTTTTAAGATAAGTAATTTGTAAAGCGAAACTAACTTAATACAAACTAAGAGTAATTGATATAAATAAACGAAACTAATCTTTATGAGTTGATGAAACTTAAGAACGTGTGCTACAGTTGCAAAGTAAGCATATTTACGGTAACCGTGTTTAAGATGGTATACCGCGGTAACAACAGCATGTAATACAATGAAATCTACCCAGCCACTTGTGAAACAGCCATGCAAATAAATAAATAAAAATGAAAACGAACAATATTAAAATAAAATAAGCAAACAAAAAATAATAAAAAACGAATAATGAAAAGATCACCAGGTGACGCCATATTGGACATGTAAGACACTGTTTTGCATAACTGACGGAAAACATACAAAGCCAGCGGTGATGTAAAGTGTTCAGATGGCGTCATAATGTTGTCTACGCGGAACCACGCACAGTTAAACACACGTTAGTATGCAAGTAACTGCAATGCCAACACATCGTTTCATTAACAACAAGCAAAGAAGTTGAGAGGAGGACCTTGTACATCACAAACCGTTTGCAAATGACGTCCTGCAAGGAACCAGTTCATGCCGTATCAGTTGCAGGAATATGCAATGCACGTGACGTTTCCAGTTGGTAGGACATTAATTCCTTGGTCATCTGTGTAAAAGTATCTCAGGAAAAGTCATCTTTGTCATCCATATAAAACTAAAAGCAATCAGCCGACCATCAAAAGCACTTAAATTCTGCCGTGACTTTCACAGCAGGCATAGACCTGGGTGTACATTGGCCATTAGATACTTTATGGAGAGGTGACGCGTACTTTACTTTTAAAGGTATGACCAGCACAAACAACCGCCATTTTAGAGTCGAGAAGGTCTAAAAACAGTTGAAAACATTTTTTTTCATTCACCAAAAGTCAAATTATGCTCACTTCATTATGAAGCTGTTTAATCTACGAGGAACCAGGGCCTAACAGCATGGAAACATATACTGTTTACCAGAAAGTGATACCCACTGTAAGTGAAGACTATGACCCTGCCTGATGTACAACAGTGGAAGTGTGTCAACGCCATCACCTCTATGAACGATGACACTACACTACTTTTGTTATCCTTTTCTACAGAGGGCGTACAGCACTGATAGAGGCCTGACCAGAAACTGCAACTACGAATGATCTGATCTCAGTCCTCCTGACTATTGGATGCGAGTTTAATCACCGTGACATGACCCATAGATGAAAGATACGATTCGTCAAGGAGTTATTCGTATCACATCAGACTTTATACTCAGCAGTAGAAAACATCTTTCTTTGTCTATGACCCGTGATCACGAAAACTGTAAGATCGCCATCTGGTGGTAATTGCCTTCAGAATTGTTTTCCCCACAGTGTTTTCATGCTACTGGGTAAATTTAATCGCATCTCGTGTAGAAGTTGCCGAATAATATACCACTTCCTACAAAGTAAATAATAATTTTTGTACTTAATTCTGCTAAAACACTTAACAGAATAACACGTACACGAAGATTAATGATTTAGAACTTAATGCACATAAAAAGTACACCACGTGTTTAAAAAAATCAAATACAAAGAAACTACGTAAACATCTTTAATATGAACTACCAGTTCTAACGTAGTATATTCCACTGTGAAATCTTCAACCCGAAAAGAAATAATAGCCTAATTTCCTAAAGCGTGACACATGCATTTCCTCGATTCTACAGGGTTCCAAGATATCAGTGGTAAAACTGGTGTTTTTTTTTTTAAACTGGTTCACAGTATTATGTTGCCACAAGAAACATTGAGAGAACTGAAACATATCAAGGAAGGAGCTGGTCAACATTTTGTAAATAAGCCGTACGAAACGTTCAAAGAACTGAAACATAAAGGAATGAAGTGGTTTCCTATAACTTTAAACCAATATAGAAAATAACTATTTTCTATAAGAGTGATATTCAAATCACACTATTCAAACAGACAGGATAACCCGAGAGTTGGCGTTGGGTACTATTGAAATTAGGAACAGCTAGCGATACAGCCATCGTATAGGTTTATGTGATAACTCTGAAACGAACAAACAATGCATTCATTTCTCTAAAATAAACATTGATGTTAACAAAACTTTATATTGAGTTCCATAATCCTAAGACATACTTTAGCTCTGTTAAAATGTTTTAACCACATCATTCCTTTGCAGTTTATTAGTGAATCTGTAACGAGGTGTATTTACAATAGGAAGACCATAACTAGTGAAATATCGTGTTTTTTGTTTTGATTAAATTTATGAAATATTATCATTCCTTGATCTTTTACACCGAATTTTCCATAAAACATCAAAAACTTAATTTAACAGAAAAGTGAATTTGTTTCATAAGGAACTAGTATATAAGCAAACTTTTAATTTTCTGAAAAATATAGTCTAAAAAAACATGTTACTGTTATGTGCAGAGGCTTTCCACTAACTTTGTTTTTGGTATGAACAGGATTCTCGGCTTTATTGCGAAATAAGAACTTGGCGACTTAGTGAAAATATAAAAATGCCCAAACTTTAAAGAAGTCCACATTTGGACATAATAACTTGCTGAGCTTTAAGTTATTCCTGGTATTTAAAAGAAATGTTCTCGCTTTCTTTAAGTAACTGTTAACAAATCTCATTGAGTCATAATTGAATTTATGTTTTAAAACAATGTCATAATTGACTAAGCACAAGCACTTTCTTATTAACCGAAATAAAGGATTAACCCATTAACTATGGATAACAATGCAGTTTTTAACTAATCAAAACGCCTAACTAGCACAATCTTTGCCTATAACGAACATGTTAAAGACTCTCTGCATTAAAACAAGGGTATCAGCGAAAGTCTTCATATGGGTTATGATGTCACCAGGGTATATTCACACACACTGCAGTAAGGTAGTCCATTAATATTCTGAAAGTTGCTGAAACATTTTATCAAAGCAATAGCACATCCAATTTGTTGAGTTCATTACATATTTTGTTATTTTATCATGGCTTTCTTTTTGTGCTTCTTGAAATTGCTGACATACACTCTTCAGGTCTAAAATTGAAAACCAGGTGGAGCCAAAGTATCAAGGAGGAAAATAAATTATTTGGAGAGAGTACGAAGCTTTCTTCTGCTAAATAATGTGCAACTTATATCTGTTTTTTTACTATCAAAATTAAATAATTTTCGGAAAACTTTTCTGTTAGTTTTAGATGTACCATAATCCTTGCAATCCACAATTTTTTCTGGAAACATATTTTATCTCTTTGTTCCACAAAAA